AGGAAGCCATAGTAATTATGCAAATGCATCCAGAGAGAAACCTGTTTAAAGTGCCACTTATGAGCTCATGGGTTACACATTTTTGGAAGGGGTTTTATTGTTTTCTTAGGGGAGGGCTTATAACCAGGGGGACATTTTTATTGTTTACTGGTACATGGGCCTATAACTGGGGGATTTATATGTGAGGGGAAGAGGCTTAAAAGCAGTAGTTTATGGTAACCTGTTCCAGACATTCAGGCATTGGGGAATGCACAAAGAGAAAAAACAAGAAAAAACTCTGCATTTTTTATTGCTCTACTTTTCACCATCTGAATGCCTAGAACAGTTTATCATAAGCTATATAGCTGTCCTTTCTTATCTGGAACAGTGAAATGTAGACTGATATACACACTGTATATAGACTGTATGGTTTAAGAGATCCCCCCTAAGAAGTACACTTTGAGTAACACACAACCTGAAAGCATTTTCTTAGGTAGCTTCTCTCATCATGTTTTGAGAGTGGAGTGCAAGGCCTGGTTTGAAATTCTATTCATTAAATCTTTATTTAAGTTGTTAATCAATCTCTTACACTAAAAAATTGAAAGCAACTTTTGAGCAACTTTTGGATTTTGGAGCAACTTTTGAGCAACTTTTAGAGTTTTGGAGCAACTTTTGAGCAACTTTTTGAGAAAAATGGAGCAATTTTTTGAGAAAATTGGAGCAACTTGTGGACAGCCCTAGAGATGTTCTTTCAGCCGAAAATACAATAAATTAAAAGCACACTGCAACATTTCTGTAATGTAGCTTGATTTCCTTTCCCACTGTAACACCGATGAATATCCAGAGGAATTAGAAAAACTGATTAGACTAATTAATAACGCCATACAAGTACAGTATCAATCGCTTGATTTTTAACGAGCAAGGAGCAACAGGAAGAGCTAACTAACCATTACTCCTCCTTTCAGTTTCCCAGGAGATGTGACGGTCGAGACAGGGGCAAAGTTTAGCGCACAACGAAGGCAATACTTTCTTTGTCAAGGCTCGTTATCCTCGTAGAAACTTCTCAAACTTTACCTGCAATTCTCTCTTCACTGCTATTGCATATGAACAAAACTGGACTGTTGCAATCAACAAAACTCACACACGGATTTTATGTTTGTAGATCGAGAGGGCACGAAGTAAAATGTTATATGCAGTAGATTATATTTTTAATTTGCTTTGCGCATTCAAGCCTTCAGCCAATGAAAAAATTCGTATTTTCCGTTGCGTCCAGAGCAACTGGTCAGTCACAAATTAAGCCGAGTGGCTCTGGGGACGAGAATGGCCCCTCTCCTCACTGTAGGGGTGACGTTTTTTAGTGAAAACCGGACTTGCACTATTGTTGACATTCACCAATTGTGCGCATGCGTGAGTGACGTCACAGATATGCTTTTTCTCACTTGAAAAACGTAATAACTGATGAGGCTAATGCACGGTTCCTCTTTTGCAATTTTGGTCAATCTTGTGTGTATATACGTACATGACGACAGAATGTTGTGTGCTTTTATGTAGAGACGCGCTAAATTTCACAGAGAACTAACAGAAATCTAACGGAGTACTTCTCGGAAAAAGTGATGGGTTTTTAGGGGGGGGGTGAATAGTAAATGATATTTTAAAATTGGCCTTAAACACAACTTTTATTGACTTTCAGTATTAAAACAATAATTTAATAAATAACGATAACAAAAGTAAAGGAAACATTATAAGGCTTCTAACCAGCTCGTAATAAATTAAACGCAAGAAAACTTGGATTTAAAACAAGTTAGAAACTGACGATTCCGCCGCACGTCTGCAGTGAAATGAAAGAGTTTTATTATTTACAAAACTGATCTCTCCCTAAGTTAGATAAGGGGCGTGGAAGGACAGGAGCTAAACTATTATTGAAACTTTTTTCTCGCTTCGAAGATTAACCTGTCGACCTGCGGCCGGAACGAAGCATCTCCGCTGCACGCAAGGAAAAAAGACGCTGTACCCATGGTTAGAGAAGTAATAATTTTACAGCTTTTCATCATTCAGTATGGATTAAATCATTATTTTCTACTGTTGAACAGGTGTCCAAGACTGATGATGTTGCTGGAGAGTTTTATATGTTGGACTGGACTTCAGAAGTAGACAAACATGAAGCTTACATTGCAGCCTTAGACTATATCATCAGTTTTTACAAAAGTAACTCTTACTTTCGCCAGGACGTCGCACGATCGACCGCAAAAGTGTTAGGAAAAGATTCTACATCCTCTGAGAGTGAATCAGGTAAGCAAGTGAAGGAGGATATCAGTGTTTTAAAAGTCGAATTATCTAAACTTTTTCAGTTTCTGTTTCTTGAGTTGTCTTATCACTTCTCGGTCAATGGACTTTGAAATCTAATCTAATCTAATCTACAGTTTTAAACCCGTTGCCAATCGTTGTCGCGGCTTCGACGCACAATTTTCCAGGATTCAGGACTAAAGAAATAAAAAAGTTGAGCCAACCGGTGTACAAACTATGTTAAGAGCATGAAAAGTGGTGGATATTCCCGCCACGTGAGTAGATCTCTGTAATTCAAGCATTTTTGTTTCTGTGCATCTGTTTTTCTCCGTTTTTGTCCAGCTATAAAATCTTGTCATTTCTTGCTATCGTTCGGTTGTCTGCCCAGTTTACTCGATTTCTATGCATGACCCCCAAAAAACGGGGAGGGGAGAGGCGGAGATAAACTCAGTACAAGTACCAAGATTTGCCTTTCGTTACATAAGGCTTTAAATACTCTCCCGGTGGGGTATGCAACAACGTTTTATACGGGAAGGCTCCAAACTCTTACCCTTGTATATACTATTTCTGGCAAAAAAGGTACCCCTTTTGTATACCTTTTATTGACAAATGCTACCCCTTTTACGTACCTAGTTTAGACCTTTGCATCCCTTTAAATTGCCGTAAATGAACTGTATTTACTATATAGATACAGTTGAACCTCTCCTCAATGGCCTGGTCGTTGTAGACAGATGGAAGTTGTGAAGAGGTGGCCGTTAGCGGAGGTTGGACTGTAAATTACAAATCTAGAATGTTTTCTCGACTTTTTTTACAGCCATAAAATGCGCGACTGCCTGTTAGCCCTTTTGGAGCTTTTTACAAACTGAAATGACAGATTTCCCTATCCTTTCATATACTTCAACTTCCGAATTCCATACCCTTTTATATAGCAATGATATATCTGAAGCCGGAAAAAGGTACCTCTTTCGGGCGGAGCCTCCCCGTATAGCCCATTATAGGGAGTACCAACCTCCCTTCCCCACCCCCACAGTATACTCTTCAATGAAGACTGACCAAGTCCTATTTTTAAACTTTAGAATCCTCAGATTCTGAGCTTGAAGACAACGAAAGTGTGCAAGAAGGAGTTTACTACCTCCTGAAAGAACTAGCCTTCATTATCTCCAGCAAAGAGATGTTCAGAACCGAAAGCGTGGCAGTTATTTATCATCGCAGCTGGCCTGTCTATGAGAAATTTGTAAATGGAGATTATGATGGAAAGCCAAAAGAAGGATTGGGACTTGCAATCATCAACTATGATCTGTAATATAGTAAATACTATAATGGACATTGCATGACTTTCCTACAAAGAAGGCTTTTAAGAGAAAGTATTAAACAATGTACAGCATTGCTTTTTGTTTTTAAATGGTCAGTAGCGCACTCAGACCAGACCAGTAAGCTATAAGCAAGCACGCAATCAAGGTCCTTTTCTGGGCAAATCTCTTGTGAGAGAGCATTTATTCGATAGCAATCTCATGCAATATAATAGTTTAACTGGTTAATAATAATAATAATAATATTTATTTATTTATTTATACATCAGTGCAAATCAATTATTCTGTATTCAAACTGTAAAATTATTTGCTTTATTTTGAGAAAGATTTCTATTAAAGTTAGTATTTGCTGGTTCAGTATAGTTTCAATGTAGTCATTACTAAATTCTTAAGCACAGAGGACATCACCATCACTTTCAAATCTCAATACGTTTTTATGTAACCTGCGTTCTGTGCATTTTCTCTTGGTGTGCGATTGTCTTTTTTTGTGTATACCACAATGCTGAATTCTAAAATAGTCAAGGCAGTAGGGTGACTCATAAGGGGCAGGGGAGGCATTGGGAACGGAGAAATATTTTTCTCCTCTCCCCTTCTCCCATCTCCTTCTTCTACCCTATACTACCTGAGTGATGAAATCAAAGATAGTGTGCAGCCATGGCAGCTTTTGCTTACCCCAAAAAATATCCCTGCATTGCAAGCTGTAGCTTTTACATAGCCTGTGTAGCATGGCAGTTTTGGCCCAGCCTGCAAACAAACCAAGGTGGGTTAGAGCAGTAAAACTGTGAGAAGATTTGACTTCACTGCTCAGTGGTGCACCTGACAAAACCGCCATTTTATGCAGGCTGGCTTTTACAATTCAATCCAAGAGGATTTCTTGATCACTAGTCTTTTGAACATGCTTATTCCCCATCCTTTCCCCATCCTTTCATGCTTTCCCACAATTCAATACGAAACTTCAAATATTCACTGTTATAATGTTACTGAAAATCTTTTTAGCAGTTTGTCAAGTTGTTTGTTTCCAAGTTGGGCAGGCCCAGGGCTTTTGATCGACCGAGATTTTGGCTAGTGGGCCAGCCTACCTGACTTTTCATAAAAACACAACAACAATTTTATAAGGAAACAAAATTTAAGGCACAAGGCAAGCCGGCCTTGCTTAGTAACCGTGCTGGCTCGCCTCATATAAGTTGCCAGTATTGTCAACATTTTCCAAGGAATTGTGGGCATATTGGCTGAATAATTTCGGTACGTATGATGGTATATTCCGC